AGTTAGAGAAGGGCATGGCTCCGTGGTTGTGTGTTGGGGGGGAGGACGGCAGGCTGCTGGGGTTGGAGGAGTGAGGGGATTGGCTGGCCGGGGTGGAGTGGTCTGCCAATGAGAAGCTTCCATCAGAGACGTGTCGATCAAAGTCGTCAGCTTCATTTGAGTCTTTACAGGTGAGACGTACCTGAGCTGGCAGGGAGGGAGGGGGACCACGGAGTCCCTTCAAACAGGGAGTAGAGGGACGGCTCCTGGTGCATCATGGGAGCGTCAGGCTTGGAGCTGGGCGGCAGGGTCTTGCCGTACGCCTGACTGAAGATGCTGTTCTGGTTGTACTCCTGATCACATGAGGACAGAGACGTGATCAGCGACTGACTGTGATTGATCAAATGTCTGTTTGTGAATAAACCGTCATTGAGAGACGATGGTCAGAGTTTGATCTACTCTGCCCTCTGGTGGATAAACTGAGGTACTGCCACACTCGTTTCCTTCTTTACAGGTCATTTGACAAATGTTTCATCCAAAGACTTACAATTAGTGCATTCAGCATCTGTGAGGGTTTAGGGGTTCAGTATCTTGCTCAAGGACACTTCGGCATGCAGATGGAGAAGACTGAGGATCGAACCGCAGACCTTCGATTTAGTTTGTAACACAATGATCCACATCTGTGCAAGAACCAAACACCAACCGGACATTTCCAATAATGCAACGAGAAAGGGCCTCCTCATCACATAGCAGCCATTTCTATGGGAGCATTCAGGAGCAGTTGCCATGTTCTATTCGTCCACCATGCAGCATGTGACATGACATCACCCGTTGGTTTGTGAGCTGCTGTTCTGAAGCCTCAGTTTCACATGTTGCTCAGCACCATCTTGGTTTTTTGAAACAAGAGGTAACCATATTTGGAGGAGCAGGGGGTGGAGCCTGACTGAGAGCTCGAGGACACACTCACCTACACCTGCGCCCTACACCCATTAGACGGTAATAGCTGTCAATCACACTGTGGTCTCCAATAGACTTCGTTAGAAACTACCTGTGGAGCCGCTCCCTGCTGTTCATTACACAGAAGACAGGTTCAGACACATCTGCAATGGCTTCACTTCCTGGACCCAGAGACTATGTCTGTGTTTGCGTTGTGACACAGACAGGAACAAAAGTGAATCATGTCTCTTTGGTCTCACCTGCATGGGGAAACCAGAGATGGGCAGAAGAGAAGATGATTGGCTGATGACCTCGGGGCCACTCTCCATCCTGGTCTGGTTGGACAGCTGCAGAGACGAGGGACAGACATGATGAGAGAGAGACCTGTGAGGTGTCTGAGGTTTACTGAGCTGAACCATGTTCACACAGATGTTTAACAATGAAAACCCTCGTTGTTCTGAGAAGTTAAAGGCTCTGCAGGTTGACACGAGAGAGACTGGAGACTGATGAGCAGAGTGTGGCGCTATAGAAAAGGACGGACTGTTTGCAGAGGGGCGGGTACATACAAACATGTTTGGTCCAGGAGCAGAACTAAGAGGAGCAGCCAAGGCCTGGAAGAAATCAGGAGGCTTAGAAAAGACGAGCTCCTCCTCCTCCTCAAAATCTGCTAGAGTTTTTAACAGGTCAGGAGGCAGGAGAGGCGAGCTCTTGTTGTCCTGGTGAGAGGAAGAGGAGAAGGAAGAGAGGAAGAAGAAAAAGGACAGCGGAGGTAAAAAAAAAAAAAAAAGGAGAAAAAAGAAAAGCAAGCAAGTGAGACAGAGGTGAAAAGAAGGAAATTACAGAGGTCAGCATAGAGACAGAAAAGCATCAGGATAGGACCACCTCCTCCCAACAGATTCCAGAGAGCTGCTCACCTCAAATGGGGGCCCCCGGGGCCCGCTGGAGCCGTCCTGCTCTGAGCAGATACCACCCGGTGGGGGCCTCTTCATCCTGTCTGCCATCACAGCCAGACCGTCCCCCATCCTGTAGGACGGCTCCCAGTAGAAGTCCTGCATCTTGGCATCAGGGAACTTGATCTTCTTGTCCATGTTGGTCAGCTGTGGCTGCGTCTGCAGTTGGTGCTCGTACAGTTTGAGAGGATCTGGAGACGCCATGTAGAAGGTCTGTGACGGCTGCTGCTTCATGGACATCTGCATGGGATTCATCTTCTGAAGGGCCGCCTGTGCCTGGTTCCACATCTGAGCCGGCTGGTCCTGGACCTGCATGTACTGAGACCAGACACAACCAGACTCAGGTGTTCTGTCTACTTATCACCACTAGAGGTCAGTCTGTTTATATGAAGGTTTGAATATATTAAAAGATGCATCACAGGATGTGAACATGTTCAGACACAACTCCTGAAACTATCTGTGCTGAGTTAGCGTTTGAAAGTTAATTGTGAGGTGGTTGTTTCGTGTTTTGTGACCTGACCTGTTGAAGTCCTGGGAGGTGAGGTGGACTCTTCCCGATCCCGACCTGCTGGACCGGTCTGGTAGGAGATTGCTGCTGCTGGCTCATCGCCTGTACTTGCAGCTGGACCGACTGTTGCAAAGCCTGCTGGGAGGGCGGCTGGGGCAGGGGCTGCTGACCCTGAGAGGCGCTCTGGTTCATGGACCCAGGGCCCTGACCCGGCCCTGGACCAGAGGGCCTCTGCTGACTGTACGGAATGTGGGACTGCTTTCCGGCCTGACCCTGTGTGCCAGCCTGAGTGTGAGCAGCTGGCTGGAGGAACGTTCCGGGGACGGACACGCCGGTGGAGAAGGTGAAGCCTGGATTCACCTGGAGCCCTGGGAATGCCACCGGAGGAGGGATCACATAGGCTGAGGGTGGGAAACCTACAAACAAACCAATCAGGAGCAGAATTGCCACTGACATCACTGACAGAGAAAATAAAGTACGGATCTCACCAATGTCTGAAAATCATCACATATCATTTAGCTTTTATCCAAAGCGACTTTACCATAAGTGCATCAACCATGAGGGAACAAACTCAGAACAAGAATCCAGGAGAATAAAATAATACAAACATTCTGATTTCTGTATGTATGTATATGTGTATCAACAGTGTATTCCTTACCAAGACCTGGATCACTCCAGAAATCACTGCCACTCCAGCTGCCCACGGTCACCACCCACCGCAATCTGAAATCCCTCTCTCCCTCTGCTCTCTCCTCTACTGTTCTTTCCTGACTACCTAGATCACTAGGCTCTGCAATCACATGCATGGATTCTCTTACTACTGTTATACCCAACTGTTCCTCTCTTTTCCCACATCCTCCTCCAGCACCCACGTTGCGATGTGCATCTCAGAATGTCTGGGAAAGACTGCCCTCACATGGACCTGTCAGTAACTGTCGAGGACGTCACGCTAACACCTTCGTCGATGGCAAGGAACCTGAGCGTAATCCTCGACCATGGACAGTCCTGCGCCCCCAACATCACTGCTGTGGCCCTATCCTGCAGGTTTGCCCTCTACAACATCCGCAGGATCCGTTCTTTCCTCACAAAAGACGCAACAACTCCTGGTCCACGCGCTGGTCATCTCCTGCCTGGACTACTGCAACTCCCTCTTGGCTGGACTCCCAGCCTCTGCGACTAAAACGTTGCAGCATATCCAGAACGCTGCAGCGCGCCTCTTTTACAATCTTCCCAAATTCTCCCATGTCACCCCCCTCCTCCGTGACCTCCACTGGCTTCCTGTTGGGGCCCGCATCTGATTCAAGACGATGGTGCTGGCCTTCAAGGCCGTCAATGGAACTGCACCCGTCTACCTCCAAACACTGGTCAGACCACATGCCCCAGCGAGAGCACTTCGCTCATCTACATCAGCTGGCCGACTGGTACCCCCATCGCTGACAGCAAACAAAGCCTGCTCAGCGAAGTCGTGACTCTACTCTGTTTTGACACCTCAGTGGTGGGACGAACTCCCGACCAATGTCAGGACAGTGGAATCGCTTTCCATCTTCTGCAAAAGACTAATTTGTTCAGACTTCACCTCGACCCTGCATAGCATGACTCCCTCCCAACCCCCACCGCCAAAAAAAAAAAACGTATGCACTTGTACGTTAGTATGATTAGCATTTCACTTCACTTATGCACTTAAAGAATCTTTCACAAATAGCAGTTACGATCCTCAGACAAGGGCTTGACAATTGTTTGTATATTTTGTTTTACCCCATCGACGGTGATATGTTGTGGTTTCTCTCTTGTGACAAATGTACTTATTGTAAGTCGCTTTGGACAAAAGCGTCGGCTAAATGCCCTATATGTAAATGTAAATAATAATATGCAAAATAGTGTGTATATATACCGGGTCTGCTAGGCAGGGGGGGGAAGGCTCCAGGATGATGGATGGGGATGAACTGGGAGGAGCAGCTGGTTTGAGTTTGAGTGACAGGAGTCTTCTTCACCTCAGACACAGGAGTCTTCCTCAGCTCAGTCTGAGCCTTTACCTGAGACACAGGAAACAAGCCAAACACGTCACCTGCTGAGCTGCTCAGTATGAAGCTTGAGTGGTTTCATCTCACTCTGTGTATCACTTGTTCTTTTCATATTCAATGAGAAAACCAATAAAAACAAGTCATTATTTCGTTATTCATTTATGAATCTGATACCAAAAATAGCAAAAGGGCCACGGGTCGAACTTGATTTTGATATTTAGATATTTAGAGAACAGCATGGATAAGTCATCTAGTTCAATTTAGTTTAAAAACAAATAAATAAATAGAATAAAAAGGGCACAGAGGTAATGACATCTGATCTACTGAGCGGGCCACGTGGCTTTCATAGCACTGCTATACAAGCTAGTAGTCAGATTGACCTTTAGCCTCTCTCAATGCGATTGTGATTAATAGGCTGAAACACTTGATGACACCAACGTACAATTGAAGTTATTATTTCATGACAACAACCAGTCTTACTGAGCTCAGTGATGGTTAAACTGCTCCATGTCCCAAAACCTTTAACTAAACTGAAAACCTTTTATTATAACTTATTCTTTTTCTAGCCACGGATTTTATTATTTTTCCTGTGAAGCACTTTGTAACTTTGTTTAGATAAGTGCTGTACAAATAAAGTTATTATTATTATTATGGGTGCCTTGCCAGCTGGGGGCGAAGCCCCATGCAATGCATTGGCACTTATATTATTATTCCTCGAACATTCCAGGTTTATTATGGGTGCAATGCATTGCATGGGGCTGGTAGGCAAGGCACCCATAACTAGAAAATCTCTCCTGCCGAGACATTTTGAATGGGTGCCTTGTGCTCGTCGCCGATGCTCGCGTACAGAGAGACATTTCCTTTAAGACGAAGGACAGAGACCCTGAGAGAGAGAGAGACATGTATAAAAGC